CTGTAAGATTTCCAATAGCTTCTATAGCCGGCAACACAATTTCTTATAGCCTTTTATAACCGATGGCGATTAAGCAACAGCCTGGCGATAAAGTGTATGCTAAACGTTACCAATTACGGATGCTAGGACTTGGTGAGTTTTTGGACTACTGCTCTCTTTTTGGGCCGTAGTATCTTGATTTATTTTGCGAGGAAAGCTCCGTACTTTTGATGGATGCCTGACATTCCTGATATATTAGAGCGCCTTCAGTTTCGTATGATACTGTGCAATACCTCCGGTGTGAAATAGTTGCTTCAAGCGCCGCGGTACGCTGCGGCGCGGCGTGGCGGGCGGGCAGCCAGCGCTGAACGCGCGTTGGCGCCTCCAAACCTAACAGGGATACTTCACGCAATGCGCAATGCGTGAAGTATCCCTTTTAGGTTTGTAGGCGTCAGTGCGCCGCCGCTCCCCTTTGTGTTAGGCTCTAATATTTAATCTCGCGGAGTCAGCGTTTTTCAACTCATGACTTGGAAATGTTTGCATACTCTGTATGGATTATTCTCATTTTAATTGATGAAAAAAAAAAATATGTAGTAAAAGAAAATATATTGTGCGTTTTGTAAATATTAAGGTGATTCCGTACAAACTTAAGCATTTACAAAGCACAATAATTTCTACTCAATTTCTTATAGCCTTTTATAGCCGATGGCGAAAAAGCAACATCCAGGCGATAAAGTGTAAAGCCCGGCGATAGGAACTATAGCCCGGCTGTATAATTTTTTATCGCTTCGTGTAACCTGGCCGATTTTTTCCACTTTCTACAGCCAGCTATATGATTTTTTATCGTCCTCTTCAGTCGGCTATACGAACGCCTATGGTATTTTGAAACGCAGCTCCTATCGCCAATTTTTACCAGGGTTGACCTCTTACTCCACTTCCTCTCTGTCTACGAAATGAACGGTAACGGATAAATATTCGGCGAGAGGGGTAAATCTCTTTCGTCCTTTAAGTCATTTAACAGTCCATAAGTTGAAAACCCAAATCTGCCTACAGTATTAATCACGGAGTTCTACTTTTCGAGAACTTTTCGGCTGCCTTAAATAAACTCAGTACTAGTCTAATGTCAGACTCAAGCCTTTTACGTCCCTGGTTACAAACATGACCCCCTTTTCTAGAGGATCTTCACGTTACCCCGAGGGCTTCGGTCCTCTCCTCCTTGCGGAACTTTAATTACAACAAAAGCTTTTCCCCGAGAGCTTGGCGTCTTTTTTGCACTCGGCGGAAGTGGAATTCTCGGGGAGTCCGCATGGCGGCGTTCGGAGCTAAGCCGGCAAACAAGGGATTATTCACGGTCGCCAGATCGGGAAATTCGGCGTGGGTTTTGCGTTTCAGCTCGGGCTAGAATCAACAACCGACATTTGCTTTGAAAACACGAGTCGAAAGCCGGGGATCCGCAGTCGAGATCCAACAGGAACGTCGCGTCGTCAGGATGAAGCGTTTACTTCGCGTTCGTCTTTATCGTCGCATTGCAGTTTGTAGAGAGGAGCCATTGCGAGAACGCTCAAGAGGGAGCTTTGCGGACTGCAGAGGAGCCAACATGTTTTTTTTTTTTTTTTTTCGTGGAAGATTACACAAGAAATTAAATTTTACCACCGCCTTCGTGTAAAACTAGGAATCGTCTTCGTGGGCAGAACCAAGGGTGCGAGGGAGGGAGGGACAGCCCTTCCAGTAATTTATTTAGCCGTCCTCTGGAAAATGCACCAATCTTACGAGATAAGTGCGCGACACTTCTGTCATCTTTGAATTTCGTAAATGATATGAATCAATTTTTCAAGAATATTATCGTGTGCGTATTTTTTTTTGTTTGTTTGTTTGTTTATTAAATTAAATACTTACAAGTGAGTTTCTCTTTTTTAAAAAGTTGCCGAGAAATGTGAAAGAGAGAACCAATGTTTTAAAATTTCGTTTCAACTTCATTTTTTTATTACTCGCCCAAAATCATGCGCGTTTCAACTTCACAATAAAGTATTTACAAGAGGGGTTTTCTTTCTTAAAAAGTTGCTAAGAAATTTGAAAAAGAAAACCAATATCTTAAAATTTCGTTTCAACTTCATTTTTTTTAAAATTCACCCTAAATCATTCATTTCAACTTCATCTATTTATTTTCCACCCTACATCATTCATTTCAACTTCATTTCTTTATTATTCACCCTAAATCATCCATTTCAACTTCATTTCTTTACTATTCACCTTAAATCACTCGTTTCAACTTCATTTTTTTTATTAATCCCCCGGAATCATTCATTCCAACTTCATTTTCTTACTATCCACCCTAAATCCTTCCTTTTCCTCGGCGAGAACAAGAGTTACGGGCCGGTTTCGCAACCCTACCATCACTGGCGCACGACAGACTCGATTGGATTCACACCGGTCGCCGCTCACCAAGCACCAACTCATCGAGCGGCACCGCGTCGCGTCCGTCGCGTCGCCGGTGCCGTCATCGGCGGCGACGTCATTACCGATTCGAGTCATCGAGCAGGAATGTTGGATCACCTGTCCACCGCGTCGATGTCCTACACCTTCCTCCCCCCGCTCTCTCCAACTCCCCCCTCCCACCGCCGTTCCTGACCCCCGACTTCGACGCGACGCCTCACAAGTTTCCGCGCCAACTCCGTGCTTTCCGACACGCAGGAGTTTTGTCGTGTGCGTCACCCGTCGCAACGTGAACTTTGGACAAATTTGGATTACAGTTAATAAACAAAAAATTGTGAATTTTAGGAATGTTGAGGTCAACGTGAAAAAAAATGAAGTTCTTGCATGTGTGAGGGATTTGCGATGTAAATACTTTTTCCTGCGTGTACTTTCGCGAGAAACGCGATGGTGCCACTGAATTTCTCTGAAACAAACTCCGAAGCTCAAAAAAAGCTTTCACAGTTTCGGCATTAATGGAGGAGATATTCCATGCTATCCTGAGAGTCTGCCTCTACATCAAGTCAAACTCTTCATACAAATGTAAGGAGCGAATACATTAGCAGGGTTGCCGTGTTTTCAGTTTCAGAGTCTCCAAACTAAGTGGCAACCCGGCATTTTCTCCCTACCTTTGCATGGAGAGTTTGACTATAGATATGATATAGGGACTCTCAAAATAGCGTGGGGAACCCCCCCCCCCATAACAGCCTCAACTTTGAGAGCTTTTCTTCAGCTTTGGAGTTGATGGTACCATCGTTTTTACCACCAAATTTTACGTAAATTTCCCGTAATTTTATCGTACGTTAAAAAGTAATGAAATCGCAAATTTCCCTCATATGCAAGAGCTCTATTCTCATAATTTTTATAAAAGCATAGCTCCGCAATCGAGGAATCGGTGGTTCAGGTGCGAAATCACGTATCCTCATTGCAAACTTTCAAAATCTCTATGCTCCCATTATTTTAGCAGTCGTAAATGCATAGTTGAAGTGCGCTCCAGCGCTCCATGCACGCTGGCCTTTTCGATTTCCGTTAACATTTTTGCAGTCATGAATGCGCTTAAGTCCGCTTCAGCTAGAATTGTATTTAGCAAATGGGTGGTTTTTATACGAGGATTAAAAATAAACACGTGGTTAGAAATGGAAACAAAATAATATGAACTATGCAAATCGATTATTCCGGTAACGGAACTTAGCTGTTTTGAAAACGCCTTCAAATGCGGCGTGATACCTCACGCATTTCGGAGAGTTCAAATAGTTGTATCATTGCGCCGTGAGAATGAGACGGAAGATTACAATTGAAATAGCCTTCATGCACGCTGGCCTTTTCGATTTCCGTTAACATTTTTGCAGTCATGAATGCATAGGTGAAGTGCGCTCCAGATAGAATTTTATTTATCAAATGGGTGGTTTTCATACGAGGATTAAAAATAAATAAGTGATTCGGAATAGAACAAAATAATACGAACTATGCAAAAGGATAATCTGGGTATCGGAATTGGCTGTTTTGAAAACGCCTTTAAATGCGGCGTGATACCTCACGCATTCCGGAGTTGTATCATTGCGCCTTAGAAATGCGACGGAAGATTACAATTGAAATAGCCTTCATACACGCTAGCTTTGTCGATTTCCTTTGACATTTTAGCTTTAGCAGTCGTAAATGCATAGTTGAAGTGCGCTCCAGCACTCCATGCATGCTGGCCTTTTCGATTTCCGTAAACATTTTTGCAGTCATGAATGCATAGGTGAAGTTCGCTCCAGATAGAATTGTATATAGCAAATGGGTAATTTTTATAGGAGGATTATAAAGAAGCAAGTGGTTAGAAATGAAAACAAAATAATACGAACTATGCAAAAGGATAATCCGGGTATCGGAATTGTCTGTTTTGAAAACGCCTTCAAATGCGCCGTGATACCTCACGCATTCCGGAGAGTTGAAATAGTTGTATCATTGCGCCTTAGAAATGCGACGGAAGATTACAATTGAAATAGCCTTCATACACGCTGGCTTTGTCGATTTCCTTTAACATTTTAGCGGGCGTGAATGTATAGTTGAAGTGCGCTCCAGCTAGTATTGCATTTAGCAAATGGGTGGTTTTTATACGAGGATTAAAAATAAATAAGTGATTCGGAATATAACAAAAGAATATGAACTATGCATAACGATAATCTGGGTATCGGAACTTGGCTGTTTTGAAAACGCCTTCAAATGCGGCTTGATACCTCACGCATTCCGGGGAGTTGAAATAGTTGTATCATTGCGCCTTAGAAATGCGACGGAAGATTACAATTGAAATAGCCTTCATACACGCTGACTTTGTCGATTTCCTTTAACATTTTAGCAGTCCCATTTGAGTTTTCCTCGATTTCTTAGCTATGGTTTTCTTGATTGTGGAGCTATTATTTTTTAGAGAAATTCATGAGATTTTCTTTTCTTCTTTTTTTGGCACGGCACTTTTTAGCGATTCATAGTTTTTCTAGGGTTTCAATATAAAAGAGATCTTTACCGCATCTCAACTTCAATTTTGACTAATTGATTTGAATTTTTGTTTGCAGAAAAGCCATTTACGATCCTGGCGCCGCGAAACAACGCTAGCTTGCAAATTTCACCGGACAAGCTGTCCTCGCACCCGGAGATGGTGAAGAAACTGCTCTTGGACCACGTGGTCCTCGGCCAGCGACTGGACCTCGATCTCCGAGCCGATCTCAGTTTCACAACGCTCGGAGGAAGGACCGTTCAAGTGCGCCGGAAAAAAGGCGACGCCAATGAAGGTAATTACATTCCTATCAGTTTTCACTGGCGCTTTTAGTGAGTTCTCTACACGAGCAGTGGCGATATGAAAATTAAAAATTACTATTAACGATGATAAAATGGTGTTGTCACAAAAATTTAAAATTGGAACTCCCTGACTTTTCAAGAATTTTGAGAACATTCCTTGACTTCAGATAAAACAAGATGATACGAATTTCGAACTCACCCAGAGGACACGGAAAAACTATAAGTGCTTCAATAAGAGTAGAATGTCGCAACTTTCATGGACGAACTTTCTAACTTTTGGGTCATTTTATTTTTTTCTTTTGAGCATTCCCTGGTTTTCCAGGTTTCCCTCGAATGTGATTACCTTATGTTGCATACGCACGCACATACATGGAAGCCGCTCTCTCTGCGCTCCATGGCGCTTTGCGCAGCCTATCCGCCACAGTTCCGACTATTGCCTCCAAAGATGAAATTGGCACTCCAACATCATATCGTAACATACCTACTCGATAGTAAAAAGGCATACGCGCGTAACGCGTAACAACCCAACGCTGGGCGTGTCCGCTACCCTTTCCTCTGCAACCCCCGCATTCTGTGACATCTCAATCCGCTACCTCTGCCCATACAGAGCTCTTACTACAAACGCTTGCCTTCCTGAATGGGCGTAACTAGTGTTGCTCCAAACAGCATATCTCTTAGAGGGAAATTTGTGCTCAAATGAGCTTTTCCCTCTGTATTGAGAGTTTCAGCTTTATGCTGAATTTTTTAACGCACGTTGGCAAAAAAACTCCAACATAGAGCTCTTACTCCACCCCCGCTTTCCTTTCCGGTTTTTTGCCGCTATCCCTTCCGAATTTTTGCCACATTCTCTTCTAACCATTAAAGTTTTCCACCAGTTCGGGCCACTTTCCTCTGCGACTTTGCGACATTTTCCTTTGTGTTTTGTGTGGTTTACTTCGTTATTTTTTTTCTTTTTTGGTTCTTTCATTTTTACTTCCTCAGAAGTTGGATCGCGTTGCTGTCANGGGGGGGGGGGGGGGGGGGCGTATCCCTTAATTACTTGTAAAACCGCTGGGAACATAAAATGAGTTGGAAGAAAAGCGGCAGCGTGATAGTGCACTACGATCGACGATCGACGATCGAAAATACAAACCGCGGCGGGCGCGCGGGTGCTTTCGCGGTCCAGGCGCCAAATCCGCGGCGAAGCGACGCGACGCGATCGTGGAATGGTCAAATACCACGCTTCTGGCGCGGTGCGACGGACGACGGTCAGCGGCCGCGCCTGCCTCAGCTGGCCTGGTTGGTGGGCTACTGGCTCACGGCTCATTCATAACTAATCGATGCGTTGCGCCGTTACGTGGACTGTCATACCACTCGTCCGTAGCCCGTTACGCACCCCCCCCCCCCCCNTCAGACGGGTTCCCCACGCCGACCGCGGTTCCGCGGCTTCACCCACACGGGCACACGCACAGCAAAAGTCTAATGGTTGTTGCCGCACTTTCTTGTTGCGCACGGTGGATCGAATCAGTGGAAGAGGTCGGACTTGAAGTTTGTGACTAAAACTGCAAATTTAGATGTTTAATTCGTCACATTTTAAATTTTAAGAGATGGTTCTGAAAAAAAAATTCACGAAAAAACCAATGAAACCACTCTTAAGACCTCAAAGTTTTGTATGAACGGAGTCATGAGCTTTTAAAGTTTCAAATTGTTGTCCGACCTCTCTCATTTACTCGATCCACTGTGTGGCGGTAGAATGTGGGAACACGCGGTATTTCCTGATGGAAGTCGAGGGTTCGAGCTACGGAAAATGCCTTACAAGTATCGAGTGGTTGCGAGCTTTCTTCCGACACAACACAAATTTTCTGAGAAAGTTGAAAATTTTTTCTTCGAATTTTCAGAAAACTTACTTCGCAATTTTTCCTGGCGCACCGGCAAATTTCATGCAGAAAATATTTATAACTTTCATAAAGATTTAATGTTCTAATGGAAGGAACTAGGAAACGTGCGTATATTCGTGTGAAGTTTTACCCTGGTAAAAATTGGCGATAGGAGCTGCGTTTCAAAATACCATAGGAGTTCTTATAGCCGACGGAAGAGGGCGATAGAAAATCATATAGCTGGCTGTAGAACGTGGAAAAAATCATACGGCCGGGCTACACGAAGCGATAAAAAATTATACAGCCGGGCTATAGTTCCTATCGCCGGGCTTTACACTTTATCGCCTGGCTGTTGCTTTTTCGCCATCGGCTATAAAAGGCTATAAGAAATTGTGTAGAAATTCTTGTGCTTTGTAAATGCTTAAGTTTGTACGGAATCACCTTAATATTTACAAAACGCACATTATATTTTCCTTTACAACATATTTTTTTTCATCAATTAAAATGAGAATAATCCATACAGAGTGTGCAAACATTTCAAAGTCATGGGTTGAAAAACGCTGACTCCGCGAGATTAAATATTAGAGCCTAACACAAAGCGGAGCGGCGACGCACTGGCGCCTGCAAACCTAACAGGGATACTTCACGCATTGCGCAATGCGTGAAGTATCACTGTTAGGTTTGTAGGCGCCAAAGCGCGTTCCGCGCTCTCTGCCCGCCCGCCGCGCCGCAACGTACCGCGACGCTTGAAGCAACTTTTTCACACCAGAGGTATTGCACAGTATCATACGAAATTGAAGGCGCTCCAACATATTAGGAATGGCAGGCATCCTTCAAAAGTACGGAGCTTTCCTCGCAAAATAAATCAAGATACTGCGGCCCAAAAAGAGAGCGGTAGTACAATAACTCACTAAGTCCTAGCATCCGTAATTAGTAACGTTTAGCACACACTTTATCGCCAGGCTGTTGCTTAATCGTCATCGGCTATAAAAGGCTATAAGAAATAATTGTGTTGCCGGCTATAGAAGCTATTGGAAATCTTACAACCGGCTGTAGGTCTATGGTATTTAGGAACACAGATTCTACTGCCAATTTTTACCAGGGTAACTTAAAGCTGCAGTTTTGTAACAGACATTCTTCCCAGATTTGCTTCCAAACTAGAAATTTAAGAAACTGATTAAAATCGCAAAACGCGTACCTCGATTTACAAAGCTGCAGAATATGTGTCGAATGTACTTTAATACCTACTCCAAAAGAAAACCACATCTTTTTTTCAACTTTTCACCGGTTTCTCTTCATCCTGCACAGAGTAGCCTCTAATAATTGCGGCAAATACCTTTGATGAGGGTAAATATAATTACGAAAAACAAAAAACAAAATGAAAATTTTGTACCTAACATCTCAATCAAAATAGTCAAACCGAATTGGGGTAGCAGCGGTTTAAAGTTAGCAGTTCAAAAGGCTTAGTTTCAAAAAAGAGAAATCTGAAATTCTAGTTTACTAAGTTCGATGTACGACACTTTACACCCTCTTTTAGCACAGAAAGGAACTAAACCTGTGGCCGCTACTTGCTCATTAGAACACTAAACAGCGTCTGCTGCAGAAATCACTAAATCTGATTTTCCGAACGGACCCGAAAAAATTAGCTCCATTGAAAATTTTGCCTCTATGGACGGAGTTCTATATTTCCCTGGGCACGGTTACACCTGTTAATAAAAAATCTCAATGTTGTCCTTAAATGTGCGATTCAATTTGTGGAGCTGGCAAGCGATGTTGTGGGCTGCGTAATTCAATTTATTTATTCATTTCCTCCTATGAAATTTGTTTGATTATCCGCGGGATTTCAATTTTTCTTGCCAATGCTTGCTTCATATTCGATGAATCCGCCCGGTGGGTGATCCTGAGCGTGTAAACAAACTCATTACCATTCTCGTTTCAGGGAATCCACGCGAACCGGCACTATCGCTCATAAGAGTTATGACTCACAGTGCAATGCACTCACCTAGTCATATTTTCACAGCTTTTTCAAACTTCAGGGGAGAAACCGCTTAACGCTTTCAGATATTCCCTCATCAAAAGGTCAAATTTCCCCTGACTTTTCCAAGTTTTCTCCGACTAAAATTGCCCGTTGATTTTTTAATAATTTTCAACAATTAAACAAAAATGAATTGAGGGACTTGGAGGACAAGGCGCATAGGTTCAGTTTTTTTTTAAAAAAAAATTGAGATATTAATGATTTCAAGTAAAACTAGTCTTAATGCATATTCGGTGAAAAATTTGCTCTCTCTATTATAGTTCTCTATTAGACAAATACCCTCTTTTATTTCTTCCGGTGAAAAATCCAGATTTTACTATCGACACATTCACGCGGTAATGGACAGAGTTCAACGGATGTGCATTAAGTTAGAGCCGAGAAAAAAGGTCTGAAGATTTTGTCCTTCATCACTGGAAAAAAAAAGTCGCTTGGGTCTAGAGTCCCGACTCTTGAAAACATTGACAAGAAAAAATACTCTTGATTCAATCGGATTTTTGCTTCAATCAAAAGGAAATCCGCTCAAATTGAGAGGCTTGGTTCTTGATTTAAGCAAAAATCCGATTGAATCAAGAGTATTTTTTCTTGCCGATGTTTTTAAGAGTCTGGACTCTAGATCCAAGTGGTTTTTTTTTCTAGTGATACATCTAGATGTTCAGGACAAAGTTTAGCGACTTTAAAGTATTTTTTCTCGCTTTAGAATTTTGGACAAGAGAAAATTTACGTCTAGTTGAATTCAAAACCACGTCTGAGTCATTTTTCCTTCGATGTGCGATTTCATGCGTTTTGCTAAACTCAGTCGAAATCGTGTCGACTCCTTTCATTTGCAGTCCTTACAAACGGGTGAATGCCTTGCCACGTGTCTTCGTCGTTGGCCTCCCTGAGGAGTTCATCAAAATAAGAAAAGAATGTCGGGCGATGTTCTTGAACGGGGCTGTCACTCGTTCGGAAAATCCAGTCGCTCTAGAAAAACTAGAGTCTACGCTCTCCTTTTTGGCATTGAGGCGGGCAGTGCAACGGAAACCTTGCCATGAGGAATTTTAGAAAATCCAGAGTGAGAGCTCCATTATTTGTTTGTAAATAAACCGATGGTTGAACTCTGGAGTCACACTTCCCAGCTGAGCGCCTCAACAGAGAAGAGCGTTTCAATTCATCGAATAATCATGAGTCACCCGTAGAGAGTTCATTCTCTCACGCAATTAACGACCTATTTTATTCGCAAGAGATCTCACAAGACTTAAAAGAGTCAATGGAAATTGAATCTATCATTCCCAAAAAGACTTGAACGTCAGAAAGAACAATAGGCAGCAGTAAACACGAGTTTTTAAATTAATTAATCACATTATCAATCGCTACAATTGACACAAAATACCTACAGATACAACATTTTTGCTAAATGCAATCCAATTTACGAATTGCGCCAAACGCAGTGCGGTCGCCGGTCGGCGGGAAAAGTATAAAAGCGCCTACAAGACAGCAAGAATACTTCACGCATTACCTACGCCAAACACCATGCTGTCGCTGGTCGGCACAAAACGCATACTCGTATTAGCGCCTACAAGAGTGCAAGAATACTTCACGCATTGTGCCTAACACAGTTTTGTTCGATTTTCACTCCAAAAAACTGTACACATCTCGTATGCACAACAGACCCATTACCTGCGGATTCTTTGACTTCGATCAAATCCCTGCGATCTCACATAGTTCCCTCGTCTGTTACCGTGGGTCTTGTGAAAGTAATCCTCAGCAAAAACCCACATTTTTAAGAATCTGAAATGGAGTGAAAGAAAATGAAAACATTCCCATAAAAACATAGCAATATTCGAAATTCAGCAGTACAGTAGGCACAGTGGCAATCCAGAAAGTCGGCAACGCTGTCTGTGTTTAATTTACTTAAATCCATTGATGAAATATATTCTAGGTGAGACCAGGGTTGCACGCGTGAAATGAAAAATATGAAAGATTTGGAAATTTCATGAAATTTTACGAGACTGTGAAAAATTTCATATTTTTCAGAGGTTAGAGTATGCAACCCGCGCTCAAATACACAAAAATAGAAGACAGTCACAATTTTTACATTTCGCGAAACATGAAAAGGAACTGAGATTTTTCAATATTTTTCACAAATTTCTGAAATTTCATGATATATTTCACGTGAAATTTCAAAATTTTATTTTTCATGAAAAATTGCAACCCTGGGTGAGACAGGCTGCCTCCTCACCTAAAGTCGATTTTTTAAACAAAAATTTAAATGGAGAAAAAACAGTGTTGCCATCTTGCAAGAATCCCCACTGGTACAACAGATACTCGTTTTATTTCTTTGCGCGACTGACTCGACATTTGCGGACTGTCTGTTTGCAGGGGCGTTGTTCGCGAACGGTGCGCGGGTGGCCAACACGAAGGTGGACGTCAACAACGACACGGGGAGGCTCATCATCATCGAGAACTACCTCTTCTCCGAGGACTTTTCCGAGGACCACAGCTTCCTCCAGGACATGACCGAGGTTCTCTCCTTCCTCCAGAGCGGGGTCCGTGTTTTCCAACACCTCCTTGCACGCTCCAACGTCACCAAGCTCCTCAACCAAGGTAAGCCCCCCCCCCCCCCCCCCCCCCNTCTCGTGGAGCCGCCCCATCGAAATCAGACTTATCAATCCTCATATTCGAGGGGTTACATCGCTGATCAGCGGGTTGATTATTGAAATTGATGGACAAAGCGATAGACAAAGAAGACATAGGGAGTATGGAGTGCTCCGCCCATTGGTTGAAATGGGTGGCTCTTACAGACAAAGGGAGAAAACGATGGACTAACTACAGGGTCTCTCGTGGTTTGCCATTAGTTAGTCTATTACCCACCTCCTTTGTCCATTGCAACCACATCCGCTTTCACCGGCAGGGTCCATATCCCTTTTTTCTCCGTTGTCCATAGCTTTGTCTATCAATTTCAACGATCAGCCCGCAGACCAGACTCCTAAATATCACAGGTCCCTTGGTAAAAATTGGCGATAGGAGCTGCGTTTCAAAATACCATAGGAGTTTTTATAGCCGACTAAAGAAGGCTATAGAAAATCATATAGCTGGCTGTAGAGAGCGGAGCAAATCATATAGCCGGGCTATACGAAGCTATAAAAAAGTATACAGTCGGGCTATAGTTTCTATCGCCGGGCTTTACACTTGATCACCATTGGCTATAAAAGGCTATGAGAGATTGTGTAGAAATTCGTGTGCTTTGGAAATCATTAAGTTTTTTACGGAACTACCTTAATGTTTACAGAACACACATTTTTTTCGTCAATTAAAATGAGAATAATCTATACCGAGTGTGCAAACATTTCAGAATCATGAGTTGAAAAACGCTAACTCCGCGAGATTAAATATTAGAGCCTAACACAAAGCGGAGCGGCGACGCACTGGCGCCTGCAAACCTAACAGGGATACTTCACGCATTGCGCAATGCGTGAAGTATCACTGTTAGGTTTGTAGGCGCCAAAGCGCGTTCCGCGCTCTCTGCCCGCCCGCCGCGCCGCAGTGTGCCACGGCGTCTGAGGCAACTATTTCACACCAGAGGTATTGCACAATATCATAAGAAATTGAAGGCGCTCCAACATATTAAGAATAAGGGCATCCTTCAAAAGTACGGAGCTTTCCTCGCAAAATATATCAAGATATACGGCACAAAAAGAGAGCGGTAGTCCAATAACTCACTAAGTCCTAGTATCCGTATTTAGTAACGTTTAGCATAAACTTCATCGTCTGGCTGTTGCTTAATCGCCATCGGCTATACAAGGCTATAAGAAATTGTACAGCCGGCTTTAGAAGCTATTGGAAAACTTACAGTCGGCTTTAGGTCGATGGTATTTTGGAACACAGATTCTACTGCCAATTTTTACCAGGGACAGCGTTTCGACGGTAAAACTGTAAAAGTGCTTATCTCGGTCGTGGCGTTTTGAAATCTCCGCTCTGATTTTATTTTTTAAATTTTCACAGAATATTCTTCACATGGAGAAGAAAATTCACCGGAGTTTTCAAGAAATGATGTTTAGAATTTTTCGATTAAGAAAGTAGAAAATAAAGCATGACATATAATTTGCAAAGCTGCAAACCGAGATACACATATCTGCGATTTCACCATGCGATTACAGGGTGTAACTGTTACCACAGCATTGCAGAGTTGTGTGTGTTGCCTATCTATTAATTGAAGGAGCTTCTCTCGTTGTAATTTGTTGAGAGTAAAATTGAGAAAAATGGGTCACAATCTTTCTCCATGTTGTGAATAGCCCATTTGACTGAAACACACAACTCATTTCATTTAGAATCAGTGCTTCGATGGCCAAAGTGCGGGGCCTTGTATGTCCGTTTGCAGCGTTGTAGACTTCCTGTCGTGCTTTATTTTTTCCTCGGCAAAATTGTCACTGTAAGTTCTTGAAATTTTCCTTGAATTTTCTTCTCTGTTAGCAGTAGATTTTGTATGAATTTCAAGCTACGATGTTGACTTGTTTCTCTTCGAAAAAATATAATGGGAGCAGAGATTTTGAAACACCGCAATGGAGATACGTGGTTTCGCACTTTTGCCATCGATATTGCGATTACATAGTTAAACATTCAGTCAGTATGTTGCTACAGCATCGCAGTGTTGTGTATGTTGCCTATCTATTAGTTGAAGGGGCTCCTCTCGTCGTAATTTGTTGAAAATAACATTGAAATGAACCGCAATCTTTCTCTGTATTGAGAATTGCCCATCTTACTGATACAGGGAACTCATTTTATTTCGAATCGGTATTTTGTCGACCAAATGATGTAAGACTTGTTGAAATTCATTGTAAAACACAGTCCAACAAAAATATTAAGGTGAATGTTCAATGAAATTTAGTGCAGTGAAATTGCAATTTTTACTGCATAAAATCGAAAATTCACCTCAATTTTTATGTTGAACTGTGCTTACTTACTCATTAAATCATTTTCCGAAACTTTGACGGATTATATTTTCTTCCTTTTCGAATTCTTTCATGGCAAAATAAAAATTTAACATTTTCCCTATGAGAGCTAAAAAGTTTGGCAACAGTAAACAGTGGACGTTAACAAGAGCCGTCTGCGTATTAGGAACAGGAAGTAGAAATACGGTTGTGTAGAACCCATTCATACCGGAGTTCAGACATCATTACAGTTGAGTTTTCAAGATTCGGAATTCTCTGCCAAGTAAAAGAAATTATACTCTTAATTTTTTTTTTTTTTTTTTTTTTTACTTTCTCATGTTAAATTAAGGTAAAAATAAATCAATCTTCTGCTACTTGTAGATCAATGAATTTTGAAGCACTAAGAAAGTTTGGAACGGTCATACTTAAACTAATAATTATTTAGTTTTCGATTGAGAGAACAGCCACCTATTGCTAATCGATCAGTTAGGTATCCTTACAACTTTCTGAAGTGAAGGGTCTTCTTGATAGTATACCTACGCATGGCCGGATTAAGGGGGTGGCCACATGGGCCGCGGCCCATGGCGGCAAAATGTAGGGGGCGGCAAATTTTGCAATCTTTATGAATGTAGGAATCAAAAAAAAAAGAAGAAAAAATCGGATTCAGAAAATAAATTACAAACGAGAAAATTCGACAATATCTCTCATTTCCTGAGAGTAAAAGTATAAACATCTAATTTTGTCGTCTTTCGGTGTTACCAAAGACAACACCTTTAATTAGTCGAGTTAAGAGAGAAACCAAACACGCAATTTGACCTTGAGCGGAGCGGCGCAGAGAGCAATGATGACGAGGACTGAGATGAAAAGGAGAAGCCTTCGGCGCGGCGGTCGGCATGAAACTCATAGCGCCTACAAGACTGAATGAATACTTCACGCATTGCGTCAAACACACTGCGGTCAGCAGCAGTTGCGTGAAACGCATAGCGCCTACGAGACTTCATGAATACTTCACGCATTGCGCCAAACACAGGGCGGTCGGCGTGGCGCAGCGGCAGGAGTTAAAATTATTAAACCACATTTATGTTTGTTCTTTCATAATTTTTTCGTTCCTTTGTTATGAATGGAAGGCCTCGTCCAAACAGGGGTGGGGTTACGGAACTTAACTTTCGCGTAAAGTTCCGTGAACTTTCGTTAGTGTTGACAGGGCTTTCACAAAAAAACGTTCACTTAACGAATTAGAAGGGGGCGGAAAATTACAGGCGGCTCATGGGCGGCAAGTAGGTAAATCCGACCCTGTACCTACGTACAATTTCTAATGTAGGCCGATTGACCTTCAATTCAGTAATCAGTATTTTAATGCTTTTTCTCCAGATGAAACTTATACTGTATTTGTACCAACTGACCGAGCATTCCAGCGGTGGCACCCGATCGACTGGGGTTTCTACCCATTTTCTGTGCCTGAATTCACAGAGAGCGTTCTCATGAACCACTTTGTCAAAGATAACATTCACCAGGATCAAATCAAAGATGAGCAAAAATTCAAGACACTTGGAGGGAAAGAGGTCATATTCCAAAGAAAAGGTTTGTACTTTCCTTATTTTCTTCTGTTTTTTTTTTCAACATTCTAAGCGTGAAAATTTTTCAACTAAAAACAGCATACTGTCCAAAAAAATGACAATTTGTGCATTTTTCTTCTATTTTCATTAAAAAAAATTCTGCTTTAGAGCACTGTGTCAAGGTGTATTCAACGACAGGTACGATGAAACAAGTCATAAAGGCTACTACATTTCTTCATTGATAGGTATGGATTTCATAACACAAATAATAACTCAGCTTGCTAGATCCAACATTTCTGAGGATCTATATAATTTTGACATAAGAAAATGCAACGTCCAAGTGGCATTGCCTGTTTAAAAAAAAGTTAGTAAAACTAGTAATGTTCTAGGAGAAAACTCTTAAAATATCCTACTTAGGAAACCCTTTTTGTTCTTTTTTACATAAAAAAGCCACCTTGCACTTTGACAAGTCTTTCATCACCTTATGCTGATGTATTTTGAAAAAAAAATTAGGTTTTAAAGTTGCATTTTTACAGTTTATTCCGTGTTTATCATCAATATAAATGATTTTTTAAATTCATAACTTTTTTCAAATGTGAATTTCACGTACTTACAAAGGAAAAACAGGATTTCCCAACTCGTAAATTTAAAAAAAAATGTGACGCTTTTTAAATTCCTTCTTTAACACCCGATGCTACTAGACACTTTGGATGGTAAAACCTACGTCAGACCTTCTTAAAACTGTTCAGCAGCATCATCTAAAAAAAAAAATGATAGTATGATTGCTTTATTTATGTTGTTCTCAGGCTCCGGTTTGACTGTAAATGGTGTTGAGGTGATCAAAGGTGACACGCCAATTGAGAAGGGTAATATAATGTTCATCTCAGAGGTGCTGTTTGTCAACGATGGAGTTGTGCAGCGACTTCACGAGAAACATAAAGATAAAGAGACACCACCCCTCCTAGCTTTCCCGTGGTTTGGAGCCCAATTTCTGTCCCATGCATACATGTCAATCGAGCATCACCCTAATTTCACTCACATTGTCAGGTTCCTCAATGTTGCTGAACTTGCTCCACACGTTCCAGGAGCTGGTAAGATGTTCTTTAACCACTGTGTTAGCATTCAAATGTATATAACCACATACTTGTTCCCTTAACCACAATCAATTATTCGCTCTAAGTATCATTTCTCTCAGTCCTTTTTCAGAGTAAAACTTATTGGTTATTTTTCTTGAAAATTTTCTGTACCTATTATAAATCTCAGTGTAAGGATAAGTTGAATGAAGGGCACCACAAATAAAGGAGTGAACTGACTTTGTTGAACATTTTGAGTCATTAATAATTTTGATGAGGCTTCTCTTTGGATTAGGTGCACTTGAAGAAAACACAGAACATGGAATTCTTCTTTGGTATCTTTATTCAAGTTTGGGTGTTTGTTTGCGTCCCTGTTCCATGCAATATTTCAACTTCAAACAAATTGTTTCCAAAATCACAAAAAAGTCATTTCACTCTTCCATTCACGATACACTTCTAATCTGTAAACATTTCAGGCAGTTACTTGGGTAATTTTCTTTAAATGCAAAAAATTAGTCAGCAAATGTTGAAACATATCAATTCTTTTGTTAAATAATCATTACTCTATTTTACCAAGAGTTATGCTTTAATGAGAGGGCAATAGTGGCGCTTTCTACATTTTAAAATATGATTTTTTAATAATGATCATGAAGCTGTTTTTTTCCAACTAATGACAAATGAGTTATAAAAAAAATTGTGTGTGATAGGTAATTAATAAAAAAAATAAATGTTTTCTAATAATCCCTCTCTGTTACTGCAGGTTACACATTCTTTGTCCCACTTGATGAGGCCTTTGAACGACAAGGTCTAAAGTATGCACCAGACAACTACCTGTCAACAACTGCAGGAATAGATCTTCTCCTAAGTCACTTTGTAAAAGGTCGACTCTATGAGAAAGATCTCCAGAACAATGCAACATTCACAACTTTAGCAAATAATACACTGACTGTTCACAGAGAAAATGGTGAGTTCCCATGAAAATTGGTGTCTTTGAGGGAAAAATTGGAGGTCCCTGAATTATGAGAGCATATGGTCTGGTCAGAATTTTTTCAGCATCGTTGAAAATACTGATTCTACAGAGGTTGGTGAATAAAACACATTTGAGAGTTGCCAATCTCTAATGACAGGGTCTTTTTTTTTCAACAATTCTGCCTGAGGAAGTCGATCTCCTGTTAAGGTTCCAAGGGCATAAAAGACTTCTATTTCATGAGTGTATATTGTATAATGGTATCACTAGAATGAGCAGATCTTCCTGCCACATAATCAAATAAAACAAAAAAAAATATATAAATAAAAAATACAGCGAGAAGAACTTCCGTTTTAAAATCAGGAGTGCACGAATACTGCCTTCACTATCCACTGCACCTTGAACAGGCGCTTGCTATGTGTAATGTATCAACGGTGAAACTACTAGACCATCTATCTACGTTTGGAACGTCGCAGACTTTCGGCCATACTCAATTTTTTATATGGAAACTACTCAACGTCAATTCTTAAAAACTTCCATGATTTTTCTTCTCTGTGAGAAGAAAACTCTGCGAAAACTTCAAGGAATGTTAATGATTTATTCTCCTTCAAAAAATGAGATGAGAGAGGGAATTTTTAAACACTGCTAACGGGAAACAAGGTCTGGTAGTTTTGCCATTGACATGCCAATGCAGTCTTTTGAGGGCGCAAGACCACGGTCAGTGGTTTGGCAACATGGCACCCAAAGGGGTCCCCTTTTTTTTCATGGATAACTTAAAAAGGTTGGAAAATAATTCCTTTCTTTTATTTTACAGGTCAACTCAAAATAGAGAATGCAACAGTTGTCAAAAGCGAAGTTTTTGTCTACAATCTAGGTACGATGTTTTACATTGACCAAGTTCTTTACAGGCACCTCCTTCCGGAGAAGGAGTTCAAGCCAACACCTAGTACGAGCACAAGTGCTGCAACCATGGTGACAACGTTACCCCCTGATGTTGAAATCATTGATCAAGAGACCACAACCGACTCTGAGTTAGGGACGGAGACAGCATACCCAGATTTGCTTTTAGAGGAGGATACAACAAAAAAAGTTGTCTCAAATCAGGCATGAATAAAATGAAGAAAAAAAACAGGAGACAGTTAAATCTACTTCAGCTACCCAGAACGGTAATATTCAAGCCAAAACTTCACATGAAATGGTGGCAGAGGTGTAGCAAAGATGGCGAAAAAGCCACCTATGCCCTGACATTTACACACTGAAAGAGTTTTCCTATGATTTTCATGGGTTTTTAATCTTTGAATCCCACCAGATAGAAATTCTAGGAGACAGAAATATTTTCCTTGTTTTGTTGCTCTTGACACAGATAGAGCTTTCATCTCCATCCTAGTCATTGAGAAATCTGAAAAATTGCATTATTGATAGAAATGTTACCGAAAAATATTAAAAAACTAAATCCCTTGCTCCAATAAGAATATAAGGAAGGATCGATTTTTCATTGAAGTATTAGTTCTCAAGTTGTAATGGGTGATAATAACATACTGAAATTCTGCTCGGTATCTGAAAATGCCTAAGTATCTAATTTCAACCTCTTCAAGATAACCTCATTTTATGGCATTACTGTTTTTGATTTTGACTCAGTGATACTTATCGTTCTTTTATTAAAAAAACAAAAGCCCTAGGTTTGAAGAATCTGAAAGTTTAAGATTTCACCATCACTTTCTTAAAACTGACTAAATGAAAATAATTTCTGAAAATTATGAAGAAAGGCACTGATAATCATCATGAGCACTGATATTCAATCTTGATATTTAAATCATGAATATCTTCAATGTTCTTCAGAAAAGAAAGGAAAAAATACCTCATCACCTCTGAAAGTAAATCAAGGTAATTAAATTTGGTGCCTGGCAGAATAATTTTTTAATGAGCTAATTGGTAGAGTTAGATTCTTTTCCGAGACGGGGACATTTTCCAAATTCTCTTTCTCAGTTTTCAATGCTGGGTCTTGCATCCAGTCCAGTTATTCGGACTATTCTATCCCAGCTTTCAAGTAGCAACAATCTATTTACGATCTATTTTTTGTTACCAATGGTGAATTAGAAATTTGTTCAGCTGCCTAGTTCTGAATTTACCTGTAGCCTAATTCCGGGACTCCACCCGAATGGAGCAATCCCAGTGATCAATCACCAGTTTTCCTCATCATTTAAGCTAAGAGCTACAACAAAAGACTATAATCTTCACAGTAGCCCCTGCATACAAGTTCGGTTCGGGCTACTTTTCAAGGTTGAACCCAAGCAAAAAATGGTAACAGACCAATGGAATACCTCAGTTGCAAAGAGGGTATACTATCTTTTGTAGCGTAACTGAAATTACGTTGTTTTCATGAAACAACATTGTAATTATAGCAGTATTATTTGAAGGTTATTAATTTTTTCCTATTTTTTTTCAGTAATTAACTTTAGTCATATGTAGAGCGAATACAAAGCATGACACTTTCACCTCACTATTTGGGCTTTTAAACCAAATAATAATGGCTCAATTATGCAGAAATACTCATTATTCATAACTTACTGTAACTTGAGATTGCAGCTGGCAAAAGCTGCTTCGATATTTTTATATTTTTCTCCCCTTGCAGTAGTGGGTACTTTTATGAACTTTTCTAGTAAGCCTTTTGTGTTTTCTTTTATACTTAAGGTTCATATGGTTGCACTTGGCTCTAAAAAATAGCCTTCTCATTTAAAGTCTAATGAGAAGTCAAATTGTGAACAATTTTGATTCAAGACCGGTGTTTCCAGGCATCTATGTTTCATAATGTAAAATGAAGGATACTCTTGTGTTGTTATTTCTTCATTTGAGAAAAATATGTTTACCGAATTTGACCGGCTAAAATGTAAATGTATTGATACACAAAGGATTCATCCTCTCACCACTTCCAAAGGGTCCCATTCTCTTTGACATGACATAAATCAAACAGAATGGGATAAATTAAAAAGAACTTATAGGAGTCATCTCACTTGGTAGTCCAAGTCCTCCAATTTTTTTGTTTGTTCGTTCAATGTTTAACATTTCGTTGTAGAATCATCACAATGTATAGTTGTTCGGTGTTTCAATATTTCTATGCGGTAGGTGCTATCAATATAATTAATTTCCTTATAAAATTTCGCATTACTGACAGAATGGGAAAAGAGCATTCACAGCAATGCAGACAAGCTTTATCTCTTGATATCAAACCTGATTTGACACAGAATGTTTCAGCAGGTTCAAAGATAGAGGGGTTTAACTTCGGAGACTGATACTTGTTTTTACTTTAAGAGGAAACAAGGAGACATTGAGTGTAGTCAACTAAAAAAAAATTGTCTGTCTTTGAAATTCTACTCCTCAACTTAAATTATATATGTATAATAGGTAGTTGCAAATACTGTTCGTAAATCTGTGTAATAATTACCATTGCAATGTTTATCTGTAAGAATTTGTAAATAAAAACTTTGAATTTTAAGCCCTCTCATTTTCTTTCTTTCTATACTTCAAAAGTAGTTCCTTCTTGTAAAATGTAGTCCAATTTATCTTGGTTCAACTCGTTTTTTAAAAAAAAAAACAGATTTCAGGGAATTGCAATCGCCCGATTTTAAAGAATTCTACTTTCCTAAAGTTCATAGCTTTTCAAGATAACGAGAAAGGTTATATTTTATGCCTGTTAAGTTACTGAAAAAGTTTAGTTTATTTTTAAAAAGAAAGTAACATAACCAAATACAATGAGTAAAATCACAAAAAGAGAGTGAGAGAAAAACATACTTGGTTGCTGGATTACATTCGACAAAATTTTCATAGTAAAAAAATCCATAGAAGATGATAAAGTTGACTACAGGACAAAATGAGGCCAGAGTCCTTGATTTTCTCACAATTATTTGGGAAAAAATTAAGTACACTCCTATCATTATTTAAATATTAACTTTGTGAAAAGTACCGAAGGAAAATATAAAAAATATTGATTGCAATGGCTCTTATACTTGATGGAGGATGCTTACTTCAACAGAAAAATGCTCATTAAAATGAGCCACTAGCCTAGGTCAGACCTAGATAAAATGTCCCTTGTTTTTCTCTTTAAAATATAACACGGAAAAGAATTCACACAGCAAGAAACTCTAAATCAACTCTTGGACATGTTAATAACAAGTGTTTTTAACACATCTCAGGTGGAGGTTAGATTATACAAATTATGTTATTTGTATTTTTGCCATTTGACCAATGTTCATTGATAACTTTGATATCTTGTTTAGGAGTTGACTTTCATACTCCTCGTTTTGAGCTTCGTTTTTCTCGGGAAAAGAGAAAACAAGTTACATATTGCTTTAATTTAAACCTTATCTAGAGGCCCACCGTAAGACTGCTATCCTATTACAGTCTGAGGCAACCCTCTATGTTTGTACTTTTAACTTAATTGGTAGAGGATTGGCTGAAGATACACAGACAGTTAAGTGAGCGATTTAATCAATTTAAATCTTCAGAACATCTCCATGGACCTTAAAAATTGAGAAAACACTAGCATTTAAAATGCTAAGATTGCAACGAGCGCAGTAAAAATGCGAATCATACTTTCAACATTTGCCATTCATTATGAATGAAAATTGTGCTTTTGGCGAACTGTTACTTCAACAAATCTAACAGCAAACATACTCACTCTAACTGAGAAAGCATTTGATGATTAAAGGAAGAATTTTCACTCCGATCACTGGACTTGTCTGGAGAGGAGCGATTCATCCTTGACTTTATGATCAGAGACTTGAGGTCTTGATTCATACATGCAGATGGTTACTCCATGGTTATGTGCCTTTGTGTATTCTCCACGCAAGCCGATGTAGTATATTTTAGTAGTATCAGCTCCGTAATTGGAAGGAAAATGTATTGATAAGTGTGTTACAGAGGAAAATTTGACAACCCTAGAAGGAAACATAAAAAATGGAATAAATAAATATTACATAGATCACATTACTGAGCATCAAGCATGAGAAATGTTTAGAAACCGTTCAAGCCGTATGTAAGATGTTTTGGCTGATATACCATCCCTTCGCCCTTTTAAGACACATGTAAGGCAACATCTAGACACCCCCCCCCTCTTGAGTTTCGTTAGACTGACTCTCCTCTCCCAATTACCCAGAAAATAACAATGAAAGTTTAAAATAAAGCTGCAAAAATTATTTTTATTAAAATTTTTTTTTTTAAAGTTGGAGGCTTACGTAAAACTGGGTTTGACACCCCTCCCTACCTTGCTGGACTCAATAGGGCAAGCTAAGACCCCCTCTGCCCCCTAAGTAGCTTACATAATACTTGCCCAGCCCTATATAACAAACATTATCTGTGTGCACCTACATTCTCAACTATCTAAAAGAGGAAAAAGAGTCAAAAGATAAAGAAATGATTCCTCAACAGGAACAAAAAATTGTCCTTAAATAACCAAAAGCAATCAGTGAAAATCCTAACTGGAGCTTGGAGCTAGAAGGAGAGTTATTTCTGGGTAAAGTTTTTTAAAGAATGAGAGCTAAAATGTGCTCCTCATCCAATACTTGATGTGGAAAATTTGGCCCTTCTTAAATTCCTGCTTTAGAAGGAATGCTGCAGTACAAAATTAATGATACGCTCGAGTTGTTCGAAGCTTCATCATCTAATTTTCATTGTACCAAAAATAGAATGTTACCACAAAGACAAAAACACAATACACAGCATGGATGTAACACCCCCAAATAAGACCCTTCCACCTGAGCAGTGTTCATGGAGTTAAGATCTCTTTTTTTTTGCGATGAGATGAAAATTCAGCAAAAAATTAAGGTCTTCTCTTTTTACTTGTTTCACCAGCCCTCATTTTCTTTGAATCGTATTATTACAACCATCGACTTTTCTGAAGAACATGGCTAACCAAGGTCATATCATGCAACACTGCAAAGAAAATTCTCATTTTAATGAGCAACTCACATAGTTGAATATTCTAGCACTCCATTATTGTCATTAGGAAAATCAAATTCTTGATCTGCAGCACAGCCAACATCATCAAAAGTCATATTTGGTCTGTTTTTGAATCTAAAATGGGAATAAAACATTAATAAATTAGGAAAATCCAAGAATCTAACTTCGGGGAAATCTGGGAACAACGCAAAAATGTTGCAACAATTTGAAAATTTCCTAAAAAAACAGACAAACTTTTAAACAGAGTAGATCGAGATGGTACATTTGCAAGAATATTATTTAGTCAGCTTTCTATTAATTGACCATTGATATATAAATTTTTTTTAAAAAGAATCCAAACCAGATCCTCCAGTAATTTTCTTTTCTTAAAATGAAATTAAACCAAACGTCTTTTAAATCTCTGGTTATGTGCAAAGAACTTGACCTGAAATACTCAATTTCCAGCACAAACACACAATTTCAACTTTCAATGAGAAATGAGAATTGCAGACTTCCAAAATTGAAAATAATTTTTCTCAAAAACACAAACATTTTATTAATCCTCTTATTATTCTGATCTTTTACTAGCTTAATCATAATCTTAAGCATGATCTTTTAGAATGAATTCACTTTATTTTACTAAATACATCTGATTTTCAAACTAGAGATTTGCGACACTCTGACTCTCTGAAGAAAAAATATCTGCCTGACAATGTTTCCAAGCTTAGGGAGCATCAAACTTCAGTAAAAAGCTGGGTACAAAAACTTCATAGATTGTAAAAATACATCATCAATGTCTCCAACAAAAGAATATCGTTATCTCAAACGAATTGATGGAAATTAAAATGTTAAACTTGCACCAAGCAAATGGAGCTGTTGTTCTGGCTCTTTTCCGTTTGCTGTAAACAGCTCTTCTTTGCTATATTACACATCACAATAAAATACGACATTAATAAAAGAATGATGCACTCACAGTCTCATACGAGCGGGTTGATGGCCTCCTTCCCCACCGATGACCAGAACACCTTTCAATTTTATGTTTGCCGTAAACCTAGGCAGAGGCATTATATTATGTTAAAATTTCAAAGACAAAACTAAATAATAGAAATCGTAGAAAGAGAAAAAAGTTACCGCATTGAATAAATTACCATGTACCATGATTCAAATGTTGTTGATTGAAAATAATACAAAATAATACTTAAACTTTGTTCTGCATAATTATTTGACTTTATTATATTTTTTTATTCCAATGCATGATTAAAATAAGAGAAAAAACAACTAATTGTGTAATAGGGACGTAACTGCTACATTACCAAGTAAAAAACAGAAAAACACAGAATCAAGCTGAAATGGGACAAACCCTCCAATTATAAATACTTGAGAGCAAAGACTAAACATAGCATACTAAAATGGCCTATGAAATAATGCTAATAGTTATGTTGTTCCGATTCAACTTGACCGATTAGTGCAGAAGGAGCCCCTCTGCTGCAAAAGTTAAGTAACCAGGGTGAGGGGAAACTCCTTACACCAAATTACAATGCAAAATAAGGAGATAGAAGGTCAGAGAGTGGACCTAAGGAAAAATATCAGCTCTCAACTTTATTTAAAAACTTCTTACATTGTAAACTCGAAATAAGATTAAACTCTTGTTCGTGGACACCCACTACACCCTGATGAGAAATGAAACTGATGAGAAAAGATAGGGGAACAATAGAAGTTTGTCTGTAGATTTTTAGCTCCACTGATTACTGGTGAAAGAACCAGGTAAATAGGAGCTTGCAGCTTGTTCTTAACAAGACTAATGAGAAACTGAACTCATGTTCAGTCTATTCTGTTACCACTGACTATTCCTGTAGCTTCTGTAAGTGAGAATCTCTTATCCATTAGTCTCTCTACTATGCGATTGCTTTTGGCAGACCTTCCCAACAAAATGAATAATGGGATTGTTATCTTTCTAAAGTCCCACAAAATCCCCCTTTCCCCCAAAAATACAGGGAAATCGCTTATCTTCTCACACTGCATACTTGCTGATTGTTCAGTACTAATAAAAAATGACAAAAACAAAGATAACTAACTGGACTTACGGTATATTAAATAGTAACTCTGCGTCAGCATCACTTTCAACAAACTGCAAATAAAATTGAAATACATTAAAGTTGTCACTACACTTGTAGGAAACTTTATGCAACATGGAACAGAATTAAGATGCACAATTATACCAAACGCTGGTCTATAATTTGTCAGATGAATCTACTACAAGCTACAACCATGTCTACATTTTTAACGTTGAACAAATAAAAATGATAATTATAGCTATCTGGGAATGATATTGTAATCTTGTCTTCATGTCAGAACGGTAGATATGACAATTTACCAAAGATATGTAGCACTTTGCATTGAGGTTACAGTTTATTTGCATTTATAAGCAAATACACCAGCATATCGACGGCGTAAGTCCGCAATCACATATCTCGTTTGCGGTGTCTGAAAATCTCCACTCCTTCGTTATTTCTTTGGAAGGAGAACAAATTGACATTATTCCTTGAAGTTTACGCAGAATTTTCTTCCAAAGAGAAGAAATATTACAGCGGTTTCAAAGAATTACCGTTGAGTAGTTTTACTTTTAAAAAATAAAAAATGACAGGAAGTCTGCGACACTGCAAACCAAGTTATGTGATTGCCGACTCACACTGTTGATATGTTTGATATCAGGGTCTATGGCCTGGCGGTCGCTGATGGCTTTTAAAAAATTACTCATGTTACAAATAGACATTGCAGTTTTACCACTATAACCTTCCTTCTACATATGGGAAATTCGTAAGCATTTGCCAGAAATTAGAATAGCATGCAGAAAATAATTGAAATAGGTGAACTAAGATCAAGTGATCGCAGAACGTCAAACCGATTACACGAAGCAAAGTGGTTCGACTGTAAAGGAAAGATTCGTCTGAAACCATGAGAATCGTTTACCTTTGATACATCCAGCCGCTCTTCCCAGGGTTTGAAGATAGTTTTACCAGAGCCATCAATCTGCTCATTGAGACACTCAACCGCATCCATATCAATTTTTTCATACAAACTGTATTGAATCCCCATCTCTGGTGTGTCATCATGATCATGATCCCCTTCACAACTGTGGCCTTGGTGAGACATTTTAGTCGATGATTCGGGTCAAAAATTGACGAACAGAAAAAGCAGCAACGTTGATCGAAGTAACAAAATATCTAAACTAAGAATTACAACAATATGACAGTGTAAAAAGTTTTAAATTACCGGTTAACGACTTAGACAGACCAAGACAGACTTATTACATAGGTTATGGTTATGTTTGTTTATCGAATGAAGTCTCCGGAAAATCCCTGAAGATCGCAGCACTGCAGTTTTGTTTGGAAACTTAGTTGAGGAAAACCCCTGCAGAGTGCAGCAGTGAGCACACGTTCGAAGCATCGTTTGGCGAAAGTCGCATAGTGGCGAGAAAGAACCCGCTTTATCTAGGTATTTTTCCGCAATTAAAAAAGTGTAATTTAACTCATTTCGAATTGCCATTGATATGGTCACGCATGTAATATGAATGACGGCTAAAGTTATTTACATTGAGGTACGTATATTCACTGCATTTATTCGCCGCAAGGTCAGTAAAAGTTCGGTGCGTATCTGTAACAGTGCGTGGAATTTAATCAATACTTACCTCCCATCCGTGATGCGTTTACTGCTGCAGAGGGTTGCGATAAGGGTTGGGTGGACGCCAACCCCCGAATCTACGCAATGGACTGATACACATTATTTCAATCTTCGGCCCATGATATGAGGAACTGCAATTTGGTTTTAGATGCACCTTTATTCATAGGTAAAAGGGTTGAGGGCTGAAAAACGTAATTCACTGCCATTGTGCAATGCTGATCAAATTATTTATTCACCTACTTGAGTAATTGTTTTCCACGATATTACGCATTTGTCTGCATATAAAAAATAAGTTTTTAATTTCTATCTAGATAAGAACTAATAGCTCCACCTAATTTACCCCATTTTGAATAGGTACCTGTACTTTCCCTCCTTTATTTGCCAGCCAAGGTATGTACTAGGGTAGGTAAATTAAGCGTGTAAAGTAAGTAAATTTCAGGTGCTGTCTCAAAAATTATCTGTTGAGGGAAGCTAAAGAAAATTGTTCCTACTCTTGAAATTGAGAAATTAACAAGTAACCCATGGTTGCACTTTTGCAATTGTATGGTGAAATTATTGCTTCTGTATTGGAGTGTTGTGCATGTTGTATATTCACTTATTGAAGGGGCTACTCTTATTGAGATTTTATTGCAAATTTATTTCTTTTACTCTTATTTTTTGCAAATGGCAATTCCATAGTTTAGAAATTTCATGTGCTTTTTCACTGAAAATTTTAGTTTTATTTTGAAAAAAATTAAAGATTTGTAGGTACCTTTACCCTTTTCACGAGCTATTCCTGAATGCAAAAATGCGAACTACCTATTTCATAAATGTGTTGATTTTTCAAAATTTTTTGAGAGTAGGTACAGTTGGTAACTTTTTTTTTTTTGTTGAAAAGTATTGATTTTAAGAGCCGGTTCTGAATACAAACCTTTCCTTTACCTGAGTAGGTATACTTTGGGCACAAAAATGATGCCATTTTTCATTAAAAAAAAGAAGAAAAAACCAGCATTGTTAATGTTAGAATTTAACTACAAGTAGGTACACTTAATAATTTTCAGCCCCTCCAGGGGCGGACTGGCCATGGGGGCGGGGAGGCGATCGCCTCCTAACAATTTGCCGCGGAGGTCCCGAATGGGCCCCGCGGCGAATTTTTTTCGTTTTTTTCCCCCGTAATGTTGTAATTTTTCGATCCTTTTCTGTCACTAAAAGGCCCCAAAATCCTTGAAAATTTGTCTCTAAGAGACATGAAAGGTCGCCTGGAGCTATGTGATGAATGGGGCCCCCGAGGAATCCTGAGAATGGGTTATTTTGAAGTTCAGGAACTGTGGAATTTTAACTCCAATAATGCTTGAAATTGCGTTTAAAAAGTGTGAAATTTTCAAAATTTTCCGGGGGAGGGCCCCCGGACCTTCTTAGGGGGGGCCCCGAACGACAGGAGGGGCCCCCACATTTAGGTCGCCTCCTAACTTTTCGACTACCAGTCCGCCCCTGAGCCCCTCTGTATCCCAGGGCCCCATTTACCTGCTTGTACTTATCGATGTTATTGAATGTTTGATGAGAAATACTTTACTTTCCTTTCAGGTACTTATCCTCGTTATTTTATCGTCAATCCCATGGCCGGGTCCACATATTTTCAAAATTTCTTGCCCAAGAGATAGTGCGTCGATCGTCAGGAAAGTTGTTCAGAAGGTAAGAAAAAAACTGCATGAATCCGCTTCTTGGGAGAAATTATATTTTTTAATTAGGCATTGTAGTGCGAGGGGGGTCCCAGGGCAAATAGGGCGACCTTTACCCTGGCCGTCTGTTCTTCAGTGTATTCACTTTTTTTTGGTAGGGAGTCTCAGGTAACTTTTAACGATGCACTTCATCAAACTTTAACTCATAAAACTTACACATTGTATTATTAACGCTAATATGCAAAATTATTGTTCTAATGCATTTTTCCATTTTCTGCAATTCATGTTGTACCTATTTATTACCATATAAGTGCTATGTAAATCTATTATTTTGTTTCAGAAATGGATTCCGACTTTAGACAAATATCAGGTGAAATTGCCACTAGAATGTCCTTTCCATCCTCAAAGAGATATTTTCTACCCTCAACAAGCTGCGAAGCGGCAATTTCGCACATCACAATGGACATGTGGTTTTTGCGGGAAGTCTTTCTTCGAAGAAAAATACCTAGACTTGCATTTCGATAACAGACATCGAAACCACATTAACATGGTGAGTAAGCATGTATTCTAAAATTTCTTGGAACTATGCAAATGCAAACTGGAAATGCAGAAAAAAAATTGTTTTTCTACAAGAGGGAACTGATCGCAGTTGAAGATTTTTCTCAGTCTTGCTTTGCTAACTTAGGTACATCCTAGTGTGCTTATTTCACCCTTTTTTTTGCTGTCTGCATGAGGGGCAGAGGAACAGAGGGGCAGGCAGAGACATTAGGTAGGAAAAAGAACCAGTAAGCTGTCAATATCTACAGTGATCTCCGACCGGTCTGTCTCCCTCAAATGGCAAAAAAAAACGACTAAAGGCTGGTCAAAGCACTGATACGCCGGTATAGTTTCAGTTACTTTTCCGGTCCAAGTTTGCTCCTGCTTTCAAAGATTCTCGATTCCAGCCTTTAAAAAAACCATCGATTGAAATATATCTGTAATAGTATCGATATATATTCACATTCGTTTTTATCTTTTTTCACTGATTTTTGTTTTTTCCACCGGCTATCGTAGGCTGAAGACGCAATCTGCCTAGCAGACTATTGTGACATGTTTCGTTGTGAAGTGATAGCAACACAGGAAGATGTCATGGACACCTCCACCAAAATGAACACGGACTTGGAAATCTGGCGAGAGGCGACATCTTATCACACAGCCCTGTCTTTAGTCGGACCACGAGATCTAGCAAAACTCACTACTCTTCGCTCAAATATTTTCACAACTCGCCAAACCCAATCAGCCCATGCATCTTCACACAATCTCTGTCATCGGTAGGAGAAAAGTATTGATCTATTGCTTAGTAGCTGATAAAATAATTAATATTTCTAACGGGCTAGTTCCATGGCCACTCTGCAAAATAACCTTTGGGAAGCTCAAAGCCCTTACTGGAGGTCAAATGATGTTAAACTCAACTGGTCGAATAGATGAAAAATTTTGAATGAAATATTCCAGAAACATCATATGTTTTATGCTTATATATAGATAGCAGCTCTTGCGCATGAGTGCAAAGAGTCATTTGCACCCAAGGAATTAGAAGAAGTACCTAAAAAGAGAAAGGACAGAGTCCGTCCACAATATAAAGTATCCATCTCATTTGAGTGGGAATGGATTACTTTATCAATCGTAAGATTTTTTTTCTTTATTTCTACAGATTACCCCTATTTTTATTTTATTTTATTCCAATTTAATACTCAAAATCGGCTTGGGTTTTTTTTTAGTTTCATATGCTTATGTAATTTATTGAATGTTAGTTGTACCATGAACACATTACAATATTACATCATGCTCAATTTTGCTCTTCTCTTCCAGATCAGAAGCACCAGTCACTTTCGGTAAACCAGAAAATGCAACTGATTCATGTGGGAACAACTTAGTTGACTCCTCAAGACCTCAGAAGCAAACAGCGAGTGAGCTCCAAAAATTGAAAGCTAACTGTAAACCCGAACAACTCCTTAAATTACGCACAAGATGTGAGGTAAGATCGATTTTTACACAAATTATTTATCCAAAACATGAAATCAATGATGCCTTCTTCCTAAAAAAGCATCACTGCCACACATCCTAAAATGTTGATGGCTAAAGTTGAAAAATACGTAACTTTGATTATGGCATTGCAGGTTTACACTTATGATTTATTTTTTTTAAAAATACTGACAAACTTCTTTTCTTAGAATTTTCATCACTCACGCAAATAAATTCACAAAAAATTTCAAAGAGACCTTTGGTCAGAATCTATTGCTTCAAAATGATGGACGATATTTTGTATCGATATTGAAAGTAGATCCTAAACATATCTCGATAACAGTATTCCTAAATTTTCAAAATACTTTAAAGGAGAATGAGCTGACCTCTTCACCTGATATTTTTGCAAACTATTCTTCACACATGTAAAAAGAAAGTATCACAACAGTTTTTGCAAAATGATGATTAGTTTTCTTTTAAAAAACTAGGTATGCTAAAGCGACTACAATGTCACAAACCTAGATTAAGGAAGATCAGAAAGCAAAAATCTAACCCTTAGGTACTTACTAATCAAGAGACCAACATTTCTTTTTTGGCAGATGCTTGTTCGAGATTGCATAGCAGGACTGTTCGTGAGTCTATCCGTTCAAGACTTCAAGGATATTGAAGGTAATTTTAAGCAGCAAAAAATTTTCTGCTGTGTCCTTGAACTTAATTACAAAATTCAAAGCAAAATTAAGGTCCTCCTCACCGAGTCTCTGCACAATTGCTGGTTACATATATTAATATTTTATATTTTAATAGAAACGTTCAATTTTTTGGTTTTAAGAATTTTCCTCACGCTGAATTATTGATACGTTAATCTTTTATTTGACAATAACTTGTGGGTCTAAAAGTAAATATTTCAATTCATGTGTATTTAATTGAATGTGTAATGAACGAATGAGATGTAAATTATAATTACAGAGGACTGCACAGAAGGAGAGAAAGAAAATGTTTAAACAAAATGAATAACCGCAATCAGTTTGTGATAGTGAACAACAGTTAAATATTCTCCATCTCAGAAATGAAAAGGGCGTTAGATGTTTCACCTTTCTCACAAAAAACTTCCTGAGAATTCAATAAGACAAAAAAAATCATTAAAAAATATGTGAAGATTTCATATTGAATTTGAATATTTGAAACGCATGATTGTTCAATTACTGTTCCATGAACCTTCAGAGGAGCTGAACCTTGGAGTGTGTTGGTACTTGACATGCGACCGATATTGGGAAGACAGCCAAAGTTTGTCACGGAAGTTTCCATGGGGTCTCATCACTGTGTGCATCATGGTGCTCTCACTAGCTCTCTGTCTTTGCTATTATGTCATTTGGGTCGTTTTTGAGTAAGTCTATTTCCACTCTAGAGCAATTTTTTGGGTAGACTCAGCTAAATGACCATTTAGAGTACACTAAACCTTTACGTATTACTGCATATCCTTTACTTTCAAAGGAGACTGCCCACGAGAAAAGAAACTTGATCGGTAAATATCCCACAGTAAAATTATAAGTAGAAGACATTGTAAGTAAGAGGGTTCTAAGAACATTCTATCACGGAAAAAGCAGAGAAAAGTCAAATTAAAAGAAATTGGGTGGAATTTTTGTTGGTTTGAAGTTTGCAGAACAAAAAAATTATTGCAGAAAAAGCTGTGGAAAAATTGGATTTAAAGCTTGGAATAGTCGAATCACATTGCAATATGCCCTTTGTTGGCGCAAAACTTAACTAAAGCATTTCCAACTGATTCTACGAGCAACCAGAGAGTATTTTCTGTCAAAAACTAAAATTCTGATTTTTTCCAACAACCTTGACAAAAATTGATTAATTTAACTAATATTTGCCTTCACGCACTAGAGTTATTTTTATTGGGGACAATCATTTTTTATTTATAGTTTAATTTTAACTGATTTTAAACTTATTTAAAGTTAATTTTGAAATTAAATCTGATAACACTAACTGTTGGTATCTTCAACAGTTCTGATGATATGAGTATTGCGAGCACAAGTGTAACAGCTAGCTCCACACCCTCAAGTCACCCACACTATACCGAGGAATATTACACTCTATCTGATGATGGCCAGGGTGATTATATCTACGTCACTTACCCTCCTGATCTCAAACGTAAACTTCTCGAAAGGTAAGTCTTTCCACCTCCGCCACACTCAAATCTTCTTCTAAAATTTTTCTGTCACCCTCATTCAGTCTCGTTTTACAGTTTGTATGAATGAAATATCAAGTTTGATAGAATAAGAACCTAGAGCCTGCAGAATTCTCTTTCTTAGATCTGAATCCTAAGGCTGAATGCCTTGAGTATCCGTATAGATTTTGGGGTAGAGACTGATTACCTAGGAAAAAGAGATAGGTACTTTTTCTGTTGTTTAATATTAGCTTAGTTGCATATGCCACTAAATTAGAGTTTAAAGAATGAAGGTTTCTCATCAGTGATAAGCTAACAGCCCAAAATTCGAAAATTTATTTGGACAAGACATTTCACGTTGAGTATCAAGGGTAACATGCTACATAACGCGCTATGTGCCAGCAGCACTAGATTGGTGCAAATGACGTCCAGCATAGTGCTATGTTCTACGGCGGCTGTCATAGATAAAAATGTGAGTAACTTGAAACTAACTTCATGGCACTTCACCAAAAAAATGATATTAAAAAGCTAAAGGGATAAACATAAGCTAAGAAAAGATCACTTTAGAAAGATCAGATAAGATAAGAAAATATGGCTAAAAATGTAATATATTGATGATAAGTCTTCGAATAATCCTGAATAGTATAGTTCTTGGACTTTCAAGGTATGCATTAGTGATGAAATCATTTTTCAAGAAATTTATAGATTTTGGCATAATTATTAACTAGTTGATTGATAATTACCTTTCCTCTTAGCAGTGGAAAGCCGATATAAAATTTTCTTCACTTTGTTTGCTTGTGCCCTTTCAACGCATTAGGAATAATACCTCTTAAGTGACATTTTAGGAGAGAAAAAGTAAAAACCACAGTGGTTCCCTCTTGAAATTTTTAGTTATGAATCAGTAATGGATCCATTTAATTCTTTGAACAGTAGACGATGGATTTGATGCCAAAACAATTTTTCAGATAGTGCTACAATAGTATTTGGTTTATTGGCTGCCTATCTGGTTTTTATTCAAAACAGTTTTTTTTTTCTACACCACATTGAGACTAGAAAAATAGACTTGCGAGGTACATATAGTTCCAGAAGCAAAAAAATCAAAATTGTCCTTTCCTCAAAGTTTTATGATCCGAATTCTGTTTTTTTCTTTGTTTTAGTTGTTATAATAGAACCACTCGGCTGTGATATCAGAAGAATCTCATTTATTTTTTTCTACATTAATGCACGGATCCCTAATTTTAAGTTCCAACTGTTACCATTACATACTTTATCATGTTTCAAGTAATTTTATGCATGTTGTGTCCATCTCATTTGTTCCAAGAAAGTGCCAGGTGAAAGGTCAATTTAAAAAGGCAGTCCTGAACAGCTATGTTGACAGCAAAAACGGTCATTTTTTAAAGCTTTTTAGAGACCGTCTAAAACTCATTTGGAAAGGTTTAAAATACTTAGAATTTAATTCTTTGCATTGAGATAATCTACAAAAATAGCTGCTGTAATGCCTCTAGGTCTAAATTGAAGTTTTGTACAGCTACACACGTTTTCCAAGTATTTTGAGGAGAAATTCTCAAAGATTTGATCCAAACTACTGTCAGTGAGAAAAAAAAGGACCTGACACACATGAATCCAAAGTATCTTCTTTTTGCATGGTAGTTTTCAAAAATTAATACATACAGTTATTCGGCTTAATTCCTTTTTCTAAAATACACTTTTCCTATGATTTAGGATAAGTTCTCAAAAGTTGACTAATCCCCTAATACAATGAAAATAAGCACAACCTGTCATATATATTTGCTAGTAATAAAATGAGAACTTTTGACGATGTGCAATGTGCCAATGAATGAGAATTAAAAAACTGTGAAAATCTCAAATTAGGTTCCAAGACAATAGGTCTGTTGAAAACTTCAGCTAGAACAAATAGAAGATTTTGATCTAACAGAAAATGGTTCGAAAATCGCAATGAGCACATGGGCAGAATCTGAAATTAGTTCCTTACCTTATAATCTGAGTACGAAATCCGTCCACTTTCGAGCGTTTGGCTTCAAAGAGGATACTACCGCGAGGGCTTCTTCTACTTCTGACGCAAATTGTAAGGTAAGGAGTTTATTACAATTTTAGCAAATGTCCTCATCATAATTTTTAATTGTTGAGCCATTTTCTGTGGGAGACAACTCTTGTTCTACCTTTAGCTGCAGTTTATGATAGAACCACAAGACACCGGCAAGAAAAAAAGGTTCTAGAAACAGATAGAAGATTCATTAGATTGGCTTTCACAACTTTCTGTTCGATCTTAATTGAGTCTTTTTTAGACCAGTCGAGTCTCTCTGCAGGCAACCTTTTGATGACAATCCTTTTTTCCTCAGATATATTTAGATAGTAGTATTTTTAATTGTAAGGGCACATGCATAGATATAGAATTGTTAGCATTTTTAATTTGAGTTCCTACAGTGATTGCCTATGTAGCGATCCTATTCAAAGCAGTCGTTAAGAAGCGAGTCTCAATTTATTTAATGTAACGTACATACAGCCACAAAGAATTACTTTTATGAGAGCATATTTCATCTTGGTGGGAACAGTACTTTTTTTTGCTAAAAAAATGTTACCATATAAGTCCAATCATTTTCATAGCAATATTATAGCTCAGTTCATTTAAGTAGGCGTTGATTTACGTCTTGCATATGGATTAGTCTCCAGAGCACCCCGTTTCCATCATTTTCGAGACTTCATAGCTTGATTTTTTTTTTTGAAGAATTCGTAAGAAAGTGAACATACAAAGCTGACGTTTCAATTTGCAGCAAATGATCAAAATTCAGCCTGATCGGCAGAAAAATTATTGTTCCACTTTAATGTTAAATTTTTTGGTCTGGTAAGTTCTAACTAACCGAATGAAAATTTCACATGTGAGGAATTATTATTCGACTAGAAATCGAAGGTTCAAAAAATAAAAACCTATGGGAGTAATCCTCATGTAATGAACACTAGGCAAGAGGTTCTAGCTATCTGGACATGCATATTACTTTTGTCGTATCAAAACAGACCCAAAGATACGGTATCCTATCATTTGAAATTACTTAAAGAATGATGGAAACTCAACTACTTAAGCAAAGTTAGAACAAATTACAGTCTATGTAGAGAGCGGAAAAAAAAAAAATTAAATTTCGTTAACATCAATGATAAAATTGACCAAAAAAAACATATTACGTAGTTCTGCTCCGCTCTTACCGTTTTATTTTACTTTTTTTTCCTCTGAAGCACATTTATTTTCAACATAATTTATACTCAAAAATAATCTACCAAGCTTGAAAAGTTTTTACTTCCTCTTGCATAATTTTTTTACCAAGGCAACGAACATGTTTATTTTCATTGCCAAAGTCCATAGAAAATGTATCTGCTTAACTTTTTTATGCCCCCTCCCCCATAGATTTACTGTATCCAGTTACTAGAAGTAGTATTACACATGTCTGTAGAAAAATGCTTGTAGGGAATGCCTGTGTATAGCGCTTCTGATAGTCAAAACTTTTGACGAATGAAAGGAAAGCTAAAATATGATAACTCAATTCCATATTACATTCTATCTATTTGTATTATTTGTAACTTTATTCATATTACTTGAATGGTAGCTTTTTATTTTCTTACTTGGATCGACAACTCAATTTCCTCTCTCCGGGCATCTCAATCATTTTTCTACAGAAGTAGACATTTCCAGCCGTTTTATATACAGCACAAATTTTGAAAGTAGATTTTTTACCACTCTTCACTCATTAACGTACAAAAAATTTCCGTCAAAATATTCTGAAAGTAAACTCTGAAGATAGAAAAAGGGTTTTTGTTTTTTTTTTCAAAATTAATTTTCATAGATAAGTTAGGGGATTAATTAGGGGGTAGTTAAGTCGAGGAGGTGAGAGACCTGGTTCTTGAAACCAAAAATGGCATTTGACTTTTTCAACCGTCTCCATCCCTCTTTCCTAACTTTCCAGTCAAACGGGAAGAGATCGCTCCCTCGGTTCATCATACATATATAAGCCTCAAAATGCAAATGAATTCATGCTTGGCTAGGTTTGTATACATTAACTTAGAAAGGGGTAACTTAATCCCCCTAGAAAGTTTGTGACCATACGCTGAGGCTCAATACCACCACACTCTTGAAAACAGTAAAGGAAGTGGAGTAAGTTACTGGGAATATGTACAGATTATTTTTGTTGTGTGACGTTTAAATGTCGGTAGGATTCAGATAATTAGGACTATAATTTTCCTGATGGGTCCTATTTGAGTTATAGACGAAATGAAACAATGTGATTGGACATAAACATTAATGCTGCTAACAATGAACCCTTGATTGATTTACCTGAGTATCTCTTTCAGTGAATTTGTGTAAAACTAGGTGAATTTGTATGAACACTTTCAGAATATTCAGACGTCCTAAAAAGAAACCGATCCTTTTGGTGCATTGACCCATTCACATTGTCCTCCTTTTACTTCGCACATGGGAATACTCACGACAGGAAAATAAAATTAAATCAAACGAGAAAGAACTGATTTGGCATAGAGCAGAGAGGAAAAATAGAGTAATGTCAGGATATGGTTTGGCAGAAAATGGAATGAATTTTCAGTTCTGACGGCAGAAAAATATGGCTTCTGTAGTTAAAAGTAAAAAACGCAGTTTAGTGTGAGGCTCAATTGAGTGCTTGGCACAATTAATTTCTTGCAGTTGAGAAAATCAATTTCTTTTTTGCAGCCTGGAATCAAGCCAGCAACTTTGAAATTATGAAAAAGTTAGAGTTAAGTCAATTGTGTTCTAAGTAGGTAAGTCAATTTCAAGCACAAAAATGTAAAATTGCGCACAATGTAATGCAAAGCAACTAAATACTGATGTTTTTCGAGTTCCTAGGAACTCAAATATTTCTGGACTATGAATTGATTGTTTTTTATCGATGTATTTGAGTGATTTTGTCATCCTGTCATCACTTGAAAATAAAAGTCAATTGCTCTACTGGGAAAGTTCAGTGTTGTTTGATTTCAATTTACATGGAATGGTACTTCGTGGTAAGGTCTGAGTGAAACTCTTACATGCATCAGGGATTTGTGATTCAAGTACTATTACCAACTTATGTAAAATTTTGCAAGAAACACGATGGTACCACTAGTCTTTTTCTGAAGCTCAAAAAAAATGTGGAAATTGAAGCCATGATGAAGGTAGTTTCTTACGCTACACTCAGAGTTCACCTCTACATCCAGTCAGACTCTCCATTCACAGATAGGAAGTAAATACATTAGCAGGGTTGCCACTTTGTTCAGAGACTCAAAAGCTGGATAATTGGCAACTCCGTTAATTTGTTTTTTCCCTATCTGTCCGCATATAGTTGAGCAGATACAAAGGTTGACTTTCAGTGTAGCATCAGCAATCCCCTCCATAACAGGCTGAACTTTAAGAGCTTTTTTTTATAGCTTGGGAGTTTGTTTCAACAAAAACCAATGGCATTGTTGCGTTTCTCGCGAAATTTTACACAAGAAAATAATATACTAAAATGCAAATCCCTGGCACATGTAAGAGCTCCATCGTGGCACTAGATATAAAATACATTTTGTTGTGATGAACTGCTATTTCTGGTTCTTTCGAAATAACGTAAGTGCTTATAGTTTTCCTATGCAGATAGGCTCTTTCATAGATGATCCAGAGACTGTAGTTTCTCAGCATAAAATGCAGTTCATTTCTCGATGATATATTTCCATGAAACTTGGAAAATGCAGTGGAATCCAAGAAGTAGTCATCATGTAAATGACATTATCTGTTTTTTATTAAGTACATCAAAGAAAATGCGAAGAGTGATCTCTCTTTGACGAGGAGAAGTTTCAGAACTGAGCTTTTGCTGAGAATTTCAATAAAGGAATGAATAGATACTATGGTACCATAATCTATATCTGGTGCACAAGACTATTCTCCCTCTTAAATTTGCAGAGGCGTGGCGTGATTTGCGATAAATCGATTGATTCGCTATTTAAACCTATAAAAAAAGATCGACAGGCAGGGTGTTCGCAGTGAACACATTAATAATCGGTACTTCACTATAGTTTCAAATGGGAAAATTTCGGCAATCGATCATTCACGCTTTGCCACTGCAAACTTGCTAACATATGATTGTTGGTCCGGCGTCAACGGACTCCTTGAGAATGGATATGAGTAGTGCAAGAGTGATGAACGATCCAGTTCTATAATCCCGAAAATGTTAAGTTGAAATATTACGATCCTGCATGAGGAAACTATGAATAAGAGTAATACATACGTATAAGGAAATTGGTAAAAATACCGAATTTTTAAGATTTTTATTTTATTTAATTTGTCACAACAACAAATTTATTTAACTAATTTGATATTAAAAATAAATTAATACTGATTAACTAAAGTCAGAACATGTATGAAAATTCATTTTTATCCATTTGTGGTACATTTATCGAAGTTGAGGAGAAAAGACAATCAGGGAATACTAAAAACTAATTGATCAAAACGACCCGATAAAACAAAAAATAAATTATTAAATAATTTTAAAAAAGTAATGAATTAAAAAAAAAAAATCGATAGAAGGAAACAAGGAACAATTTGGGTTACATATTTACAATATGATTGCTGCAAATGAAATCAAATATTGCTTGGGATAGGGATAGGTAATGTAAAATTTAAAAAAAATTTCAATTCAGTACTTAGGTTGCGAGTCAGTTTTGCGGAGAGTAATTACAATTATCTAGACAAGCTTCAATAATTGATTTTTTTAAATACCAAAATTGGCGGACTTCGGAGTAGACAGTCCAGTAAAGAAACCCGCACAGAGCATGAGGTCAGCGGCTCTCGATGAAAGTCAGTGAAACTTTAATAGATTGATATAAAGTTAATAATTAAGGGAAAGCCAAAAAATTAGCTAATTTTTGCGAGTAGAAGCCGAGCAATTCGCGATTGAATCCGGACTACTTTCTATCATGCCGCAGCATGGCGGAAGCATTCTAATATTTTATGGGCAGCATGTAAATATTGTTAATATTAAATAATATTTAATTATATTTTTTTATTGTTCTAGTCCATAATTTTTGAAGGGATTCAATCCGTGTATACACTCTGCGTAGTGAGGATAAGTCGATTTTGTGTTCCTCATTTATAAAAAAATGAGATTTTCTTATTTTTTCCATTCATACATATGTAGATATACGCTTTGCGCATACCTACTGCATTTGCCAATTTTCATCAATTATTTTTCCTGTGATCATCAATTATTCATCAATTATTTTCGTTTCATCAATTATTTTTCCTGTGTGTGTGTGTGTGTTATTTGTATAATTAGTAATTTTTATCGAGCCATCTCTAGCAGCATCGCTAAATATTAATCAGTTATGGCTTACCAAGGTGCTGTGCAGTACCTACGATGCTTTACTTGCAATCGCCAATTAGTCAGAAATGCTGGGAAAGTGAAACTGAATCTGAATAATGACGAGTTCAAACAGCAAATAGCATCTTCTCGACGAGAATAGTTAGGTTTCCCGCCCTTGGAGCCCGACGATACATCTAGAATTTGTTTTAAGTGCAATGTCTCAATTCGTGAGGAGATGAGTTTGATTGAGGCAGATCCGCGTTGTCTTCGGCGAAATGTTTTACGGGGCGCTCAAAGAACTCGTTGCGTTTTATGCCCACTTGAACTTGGAGTAATGCGGCTCTCCATTGACGGTCGTGTCAATATTTTTGTAAATAAATATATTTACATACCTGAAGGGGCCAGATCATGCCCTAATCACTTGGACGAATACGGTTTTATTTTAGAAGATTTTGTGCCCCAATTAGTGTACGTAAATCGGCCCTACGTGATCCAAGGAGATCAGTTGCGATCATTTATGCAAGGTCTCCGAAAAGCAGCAAATGCTGCTGCCAAAATAAGCGTCGATGAAAATTCTTATTCTGATGATGACTTTACCGTCCTCACTCGAACTACAAAACAGCAATTTGAGAACTTGTATACTTACGGCGACCCAATCCCAATTCAAGTGAAAAATGCAAATTATGTCAGGAACGTCAGTCAGAAGGATTTGTTAATTTTTCTTTGCAAAATGACCTATGACCTCGCTTTGGCGTTCAGAGTCCTTGGAAGTCATATTTCGGCTCCAGATCTGTCTCAGCTGTTTCAGGTGAGGGAGGTCAACTACTCCCTGAGAGTTGCCCGTCCTTTATTCGACAACCCCGCTAGGACTTCTTACCGTTTCCACTTGGTGGTTGTCAGAGTAAAGAGGCGGTGGAACCTACTGTCGCCTGGGCTAGCTGATGCAAGTCTGGAGACGAACCTGTTTAAGTCTAGGGTCAAGGACTACGTTTTGAAATACTATGTTCCCTATTAGTTATATTCATTGTATTGTACTTTTGTTTGTTTTGTTTTATTTGTCAGTAGAGTCTATCATTTGTTCAGCTGTTTTGCTCTTTTTTGTTAATTACTTTTGTAATTGGGCAACTTGCCCGTTTTGTATAATAAATAAAATGAGACATAGTCTTTCTGATGATTTTTTGCGAGTGATTTTTCGTATTTCAACGCGTCAAGCAGTAAGTGTTATCATTAGTAAAGTTCGTCAATCACTGATGCTGAGATTTGTCCCTGAAAATATAGAATTTTCCTCAATTACCAGGGAAAAATACATAAATTGCCACTTCACCTCCTTCGCAAACGTCTACCAGACCAACCGCGCATGAGAACACATGGGTGCACATGATGTTGTGTGCGCATTCATTTTTTATAAAACCAGAATACAGTAACGTTAGCGCAACATGGAAAATTCTTCATCGTGTTCCAGTTTTGACGAAAGTGCGTGTTTAAACGAATTATTCGGGCAAAGAAGTGAAAGTCCATTCAGCGACTATGTCTTCGGAGAAAACCATGGATCAATTTACGAAGCCGAAAGTAGTGAAAAAGAAGAAGGGTCCCTCTTCAGTCTCCTTCAAGGACTCGACGGAGGAGATTATGATTGTGGAAGCGGATGTTCATCAGGAGGAGAAAGAAACGTCCCCCCCGCCGATGCCGAATACCCAAAATTTTCTGGAGGAGGAAGTAGAAGCGGTTCCACCTCCGAAGAAAATCAATCAAGTAAGTTTGGACGATCTTCAAGGATGTCCACTGACTCTACTGATACAAGAAGCATGCGAACTGACAGACATGGGTTTGATGCCGTTACTGCGGATGTTCGAGGAAGTAACAACATATCTGGAAACGAACCCGGACCCAGCCGACGATCAGATGGAATACAAATGGACCGTTATCCATTTGTTAGTGAAGAAAGTGATAAAAGAAAATTATTCGCCGCGTTAATTAAGAACGATTGGCATAGACTCTTTGTTTCCGCACCTCCTAAATCGCGAATTATCCACGATGTTTATTTCTCTGGTAATTGGGAGCGGGATGAAAAGGGCGTTCTTACGTTCTTACACAACCCCTCCCAAAAAACCACCATCAGTATCATCGGTACACACGGACGACACATCCTCGTCGTCCATGTGTGCCAATACAAAAAGAGTACATGCAATTGCGGAATCACCAACCGAATCAGACGACGATTCAGAGGAAGCCGTATTCGGCAGGTATACAAAGCGCAAACGTTCAACCCAGCAAGATGGGATAATCTCGCAGAATATCTCATACAAAAAGAAGGGTCGAAGAAGGGGGGGAATTTTATTCTTTATTACAATCTGTCCAAGTTTCGGAGCTTTTAATTTTGCATCAGTACGGTGAAAATGCAACAACATTTTTACAAGTTTTACTGGCCATATTAGACAAGGAGTACATGAAAAGGCATGTGGGCATGGGTGTGGGTTCACATGGGTTTATCGCGTCTAATTCAGTTAATCGCATAACCCCACCCCTGACACCCCTAAAGCACTTGTACATGTCGACGGGACATACTGATACATGTGCAAAAGCAGTAATTTCAAAACATTGCGACAATCATACTGCGTCCATAAACATAGTCATCTTGCTAAA